TATATATATATATATATAAGATTAAAGGCCTAAGTGATCTAACACGAGAAAGATTATTGAGTATTGAAGATTTTTCTGCGAGGCGTCAGACACGGAATGCTGGATTGTATATGTATTCTAGATCCATGTGGAGACTGCTGGTACTCCCCATCCTGTTTCTAAATGTGATTTATTACATTCTACAAATGCTTCGATGCAACTTGGGCATTCTTCCGCGGGTTGTATTCGTATGATTATTTTTCTGCAAATTACGCAATTTGTCTGATTACGGACAGAATCTTCAAGGATGAGCATGTGAGCAAAAACGGGTGTACAGATATATTTCTCTGCGTCCGTTAAAGCTTTGTAGCAATCTTTACAAATTTTGGAGGAGGTACTGGTATGTTGATGGACCCGTTCTTCCATCGTGGTAACACATCGGAGTTTCATCAAGTACCGGTAAGCGTCCCACTGATCCTCTGCTGGTGCCGATACAGATGATTCTTCCTCTCGTTGATTAAGGGCACAACAGAGATAGCGAAACGCAGTCATTTCGTGTACTGTAACCGACGCCAGGCAGTTAGCTTACGATTACTTAAATATATGCGCATTATATCATATTAGTTTATGTATATATATGTATATATAGAGATATATTTATTTTATTGTCTTGCATAATTATTATTATACTTATATATATATATATTTTTTTACATTATTATGCCATATGTATGTTGGTTTTTATTTTTATTTATATATGTATATATATACACAAAATAATTAAATAGAGGGGTTTACTATTTCTAACAACTTTTCACTGAGTTGTGCATAACCTGAATCTACCAAAATGTCTTTAATATTTATTATTTCACGACCGGATTCATTCATCAATTCAAGTTTCACGAGTGCTCCTAATTCGTCAACGTGTCCCAGGATGCTAATCCATCCTTCGCGGCGCTCGATCAAAAATTTTGTTAAGTCCCTTGCTTGCCGAGGCCATGTTGTTTTCGCGGGATCGGGTTTGATATACGCGAGAGCGCAGGGAATAGCCTGCCACTCTATCTCGCGAAATCGGTCTTCAAGTATGTAAATTTCATAACAGGGCCTGTCGATAGTCCGGCCCCAGTCTCTTAGGTCGACTTCGGCGGTACCGTCCTTTCGGATCTGAGTTAAGATGCCTCTTTGCCATCGCCGTCCTTCTTTAACTGCGACTATTTCATCTAGGTTGCTACAGTCAGGTAACAGGGGCAATTGACGGTGTCGCCGTGTCATTCGGCGGGTGAGATCCTCGATTAGTTCTTGAAAATCGTCGTGGCTGTTCTTTAGTTGCGCCCAAAACAAGGTTGTTGAATCTACCTATACTATTTTTGCTTTTAGTGGACTGCGGGTCAACATTCTTGTATTTATGTGTTTTTCACATTCGACTGTGATTGGTCAATTTCTTACTTCTACAGTCTCATCCACTACTGCTACTGCCATTGTAGACCACGCATAAGATAAAATTAACAGAAAACGTAATGTATGTGTGTAAGCAGGATCTAGTTGAATTTTTTGTCTATTTACTTTACAGAAGTTTTCATATATTTACATCTTTATATATTCACTAAACGATAGTCGTTAAAAGGTGCGTTCTACTTAATGTTTGCGAGCATCAGTTTATCCTTGTTATCATCAAATATTAAGCAAAAAAGGAAATGATGCATGCGAGTGTTGCAAACGTTACGTAGAACACATCTAAAATATGCATGTGTTGTCTAATGTAAGTATACATGTCGTCAAAGTAGCATTTGTTCGTGTAGTACAGTTTGACGACAGTCGTCGAGATATACGTGTGTCGTCAAAGTTGTCATTTATTCAGTTCGACGACGGTCGTCAAAGTATACTGTCGTAGTAATAGTTATATCACCATTGGAGTACAATTTGACGACAGTCGTCAAAATCTACAGGTGTCGTCAAAGTACACAGTCGTTAAAGTAGTCATTTCATCGTTCGTTGTAATTTAGTTTGACGACGGTCGTTGAAATATACATGTGTCGTCAAAGTAGTCAATTCTTTGTTTGACGACAGTCGCTAAAGTGTACGATTGACCATTAAAAATTTCGCGACAGTCGTCAAAATAGCCGAAAGTCGTCAAAATAGCCAATGCTTACCTAAAATCGTCGTCAAAATAGCCGATTCACAAAGATATATATATATGTATATATAGTATAGTAATGGGCTAAATACGCTTATATAGTATTCGTTTAAAAATGAATAAAAATGAATTTCAAATATCTCAAAAAAATGAGCAGCTAAGATTTTGATTCAAATAGCTTTTAAATCTGTGGGCACATACGGACAAATCCCCACTTTCATTTTTTGTCGACACTTTTTTTATACCCATCGCCACTTGAAGAACAGTGTGAGTATGCTAATCCATCCTTCGCGGCGCTCGATCAAAAATTTTGTTAAATCCCTTGCTCGCCGGGGCCATGTGGTTTTCACGGGATCGGGCTTGGTATGTGCAAGTGCACAAGGAATAGCCTGCTACTCCAACTCGCGAAATCGGTCTTCGAGAATATAAATTTCATAACAGGGCCTCTCGATAGTGCGGCCTCAATCTCTCAGGTCGACCTCGGCGATTCCGTTTTTTCTGATCTGAGTTAAGATACCCCTTTGCCATCGCCGTCCTTCTTTAACTGCGACTATTTCATCCAGGTTGTTACGATCAGGTAGTAGGGGCAATTGGCGATGCAGCCGTGTCATTCGGCGGGTGAGATCCTCGATTAGTTCTTGAAAATCGTCGTGGCTGTTCTGGAGTTGTGCCCAAAACAAGGTAGGTGAATCTACCTTCACTATTTTCGCTTTTAGTGGACTGCGGGTCAACATTCTTGTATTTATATGGCTGATCTCCTTTGTCATCTACAAGAGAATAAATGTTTATGCAATATTGGTTATTTAGGAATGCGCAAAAATGGAAAGGGTTCCAATAACTTTAGAGGTTCTGGTATTAAGTGGTAGATTTACATGGGCGCCTTGACGGTTTACCCTTTTAATTCAAGGGTATAAGTAGAAGTTTCCTTTGGAGGAAGGAGGGGGTAAGTGAATTCCTTTTTCGCTTCGTCTTGTAATTCAGGGCCTTTTGTTTGATGGATTTCCTACTCAGCGGGGACCGAAGCGGTTACTTTTTCGGCATCTGGTTTCCCTCTTCCTAAGTGTAACATGAGCTGAGTGAGCAAATCCCATATAGCTCCTATTAAATACACTGACCACCCGTATACAGTGTGCAGGGCATATCCATGCACGATGGTGTCTAAAATTAATTTTACTATTCTGACGCTCATATATATATCTATTATTCCAGCGCTGACTTTGCCAAAAATTAAAAATCTGTTCCAGAATTTCTCCCAGGCAGGTGCAGCTATTTTTTCTATTGATGCTTCGTCTATTAGATTGGAAAATGACCCTCCGTTTATAAAACCTGGTTGTCCCATCATTCCTCGTGCTATGGTGTTAAGTACCGAGGGTCGTTCCGCTGGAAACATTATATGATCTCGTAAGGTCTCCAGGTCATTTTCCGAGTATATTCCGCTCGTAGCGAGCGATCCAGGGCTGACATATCTCCATGTAGGTCTAGTCATTGGTTTTAAAATAACAGGCGGTAGTGTTTCTATTGGTTTTGGCGCGAGTCTGTACCATGAATCTTCTAGAAGGTACATAGCAGGTGTCAATGCGTTGCAGGTAACTTGTGTTCCTTGTCGTAGTAAGATGTGAGTTTGCGGGGTTAGAAAATGCGTTTGGTTGTTTCGAGTTACTGGCAGTTGGTCGTAACATTCTTGAGTATGAGCAAGTTTTACTTCGACGGGTACACACTTTATTATATGTATTACTTCTCCTGCCAATAAAGCCATGTACCCGGGTCTCTGCATTAAGTGATAAGCAAAAGCATCGGGGGAATGAACAGCGAGGGCCAAAGCATTCTTTAATATTTTTTGTTCAAGATTACATTGTTGTTAAAGAACATTTCTATATAATTGACTTATTTGTGTGCGTATGTGTTTCTCCACATACACGAATTTAGAATTCATATACGTGAAAATATCGAGATTTTCTGACTTATATTGTTTATTAAAAACTTTGTTATCCGGTGTTGTTTCGAATATCAGTAATTTAGGATGTTCGGTTAATATAAGAGTATGGCCACATACCACTTCTATCCCCTTTTTCGTTAAAGCGAAAATCGTGTCTTGCGAATTTAAGGTGTAAATTACTTGGTGTTGTAATCCGGTGGTGTCAGTTAATACTTCTGCGAACCCGGAGTAAAGCGCTCCGAAATTAAGATATCCGCAAGAGCCTAACAAGGGCAATGGATTCCAATAGGTATCTCCTCCTTCTATGTCTACACAATGGGTGGTTGCGAATTCGCAAGCTACCCCTGATCGAAGTAATACTTTATTTGAGACTAATCGTACTTTAGCTTCATAGTCTAGCAGCGTGAATTTTAAAGTTGCTAATACTATGACGTCGGTCCAAGTTCCGTAAGGATCAGAGTAAGCACCTCCATCGCATTTTCCGTCGTCTACATGTCCCGCTAAGACGACAGGACGAGAGACTGACTGATTTGATTTTATTTCATTTATAAAAATATGCCCCATTCGGAAATAACCGGAGGCATGCAGTCGTTCGCACGCTTCACGAGATGTTTCTTGTATATATGAAAATTTACCGTTTTGCACATCCATGGTGTGAGAAAACATCCCACATTTCCTTACTATTCTATCGACTTCGATTTTGCATTGAATTACCCTAATAGTTTTAAATTCGTTGACCTGAATGAGTTGTATAAATTTCTGAGTTTTATTTACGCTTTGCGGAGGAATATCGCAGTCTTCGATATCGAGTAACGACATCGTGGTTATGTTGGCTAGTGGTGATCCGCAATCGTAGCCTATTATCCCGTGAGTTTCATGTATCCATTTTATTAGTAATATTATAGTTGCAATTCGTCCGATCCGGTAATCCATCTGAAATATTGATTTAGCAACTGTTATTTAATTATTAAGAACGGGCTTTATGTGTGATATTCGTAATCTATTTGGATGTACAACACGACTGTTTTTCTTTATTCTTATTTTTACATTATTTTTGTTTAATATTTCCAGTACTTCGTGAGGTCCTGTATATTGATCCCCGAATTTTCCTGGCTTAGGTCCCTTTAAATAAAATACATGATCGCCTGGTTTAAATAATTGCGGATTAATTTTCTTATCATAATGTTTTTTAGATTTAGTTTTTGCTTCAATGACATTTTGACGAGCGTTTCCTTGGATGGTATGGAGTTGTGTGACTAAATTTATTAAATACTCGTCATAACTTGCTAATTTATCTTCGGGGCCTAATAATTCGTTTGACGGGATTCTTGCTATTTTGCCGAATACCAGCTCATACGGAGTGTGCTTAGTGGCTTCGTGGACACTGGTGTTGTAATTAAACATTGCTAATCCAACCCATCTATCCCATTGTTTCTGTTCGTTTGCATACTGTTTAAATATTCTCCTAGCGCATGATGAGATCTTTCCAGCGATCCATTTGATTGAGGGTGGAAGGCGGTTGTGCGAAATTTCCGAATTCTAAACAGCTTTACAACCTTTTTCATTAACTCGCTGATAAAATTTCTTCCTTGGTCTGTTAATATTGCTTTAGGCGTTCCTAGCACGCAGATAAATCTATCAACAAAAGCTTCTGCTATAGTTTCAGCTGTTTGATCTCCCAAAGGTATCCCCATGCAAAATTTCGTTAATTGATCCTGCATTGTTAGTATGTACTGATTCCCTCTTTCTGTTTTTGGTAATGGTCCAACTATATCCATAGCTATTTTGTCGAACGAAGATCCAGGTGTGTCGGTAATCATCATTGGCTGTTTAGTTTTAACGCGTACTAATTTTTTTAATTGACACTGTAGGCACTGTTGTATATATTTTTGAATATCTAATTTTAAATTTTTCCAATGATAATTATGCTTTATTCTATTGTATGTTTTTGTGACACCGCGATGACCTCCTGTAGGTAGGCAGTGCATCTCTCCAATTATAATAGGGCGAAGGTCTCTAGGAGGGTATTTAACTAATCCATTACGTATGATTATCTTGCAATTGGTTATTTCAACTGAAAGTAATTGCAATACGGATTTAATGTTACTCCATGGTACATTATTAACATAATCTGTTTTTGCAATGCTGAACGTTTCTAAACTTAAGTTTTTAACGATATTTAGTAATTCTTTTAGCGCTGTTTTGATATGGGTTAAAGTTATTGTCGGTCCTTCACACAGTCCTTTGCTGACAGGTAGGGCCATGTGGTAATGCCCCTTATACTTTATGGCCTTTGCTTGACCTAAGGTTAAAGCTCCTAAATTTGGGATTTCGTTTCTTTCGAACAATTTCTGGGAACCGGAATCTATTCCGTTAGTATCTACAAAATACGCTATATTATCTTTTCGC